GAGGTCGACTGAGCTTGGTCGGGGAAGGTCCATGTCTCTTCCATAGCCTCTTGCAAAGCCGTAATCAACGGAATGGTGATTGCTGATGACTGTTCTTTGCAAACAATGTCATAGAAGTTGTCTTTATTTGTATTTGGTTGATGCTCAACCTCTATCTCCAAAGCTCTTGTGAGTCGGCCTATAAGCTCCCCGAAGGGTAGCATAGGACTCCTCTGGCAACCCAGGTCCCTGGGTGGAGATGACTGCCGCCGGAGATGTACAACAGTCATCAGAGTCCTCTGATTCGGAATCATATGGATAGGGCGGACTAGAGGATGAATGCACCAGAGAAGGAGGATGGCAGGAGGTCTTCAGGGCCGAGGTAGATGGAGCCCTCTCTCTAGATTGTCGGGACCGATGGGCATCATCCCTAGGCATGTAGTGGCCAAATGGGGGTGGCCCCCAGTATTAAGGCTGAGATGATGATGATGATGATTATAACATTTCTATGCCGCCCCTTGCCGAAGCCTCGGGGCGGCTTACAACACAATAAAATACATTGAAATACAATAGAACATAATGAAATACAATAGAACAGATGCGTCTGGTCCTTCATATGGGATCGGAACCCATGACCTAGTGGATTGTCCCGATGAACGTCGTTGTCTGTCGGGTTTGATCACCGTAGTCCTCCTGGAAGCCTCCAGGGAGGATGGCATTGGGGTTGGTGAACGGGCCGGTTGGCGGCACGGCAAAGACCTCGGGGGGTAATCACAGATCTCCCCGTCGAACATCGACCCGTGAACAATCGGTTCGGGTGGATGTCGCATAATCAGGTCTATAGGCTCAACCCTCTGTGGAGATCCTGGCGGCGTAACTTGCATCATTTCTCTCGGTGTCGGTGCTGAGGTTGTCGGGACTAAAGGTGCTGTCAGGACCGGTAAAATGGTTGGGTCCGAGTCCCTTCACGGTTCCAGAGTGCATCTGCGCTTCTTAGTGGCCATGCCCAACTTGTCCTTTTTGGCCTTTTTCAGGGCCAACGGATCCCCGTGGTCAAAATACTTCTGTTTCTCCTTTTGTTTGCGCAAGGAGTGGGAGGAGCGAGAGCTCTCCTTGGAAGCTGCTGCCCCGGATGGTCAAGGGGAGGTTACCATGGAAGGTCCGGCCGACATAGATTGAGTGACAAGCTCATCAGAGGCCTGCAAAGCTTGATCCCAGAGGATCTTTCACAGCCTGTTCTCTCGATTTTTCCTGGCTTGTTTGGTAAAGGCCAGGCAATGTCTGCACTTATCCGTGCGATGCCCTTCTCCCAAACAAAGGAGGCAGAGCTCGTGAGGGTCCGCCAGGGACATTTTAGCCCCGCATTTTGAACACTTTTGAAACGCCGCATGCTGAGCCATCGCCGAAGGGATAGCAAGGTAAGAGAAGAAAGAGAAGAAATATACTAACTATATATTATTATTATTTTTATATATAGAAAGAGGAAAGAATTAACTGGAAACAAGGAGAAGTAACTTGGATGCAACTGGGAGAAAAAACAATTTAGAACAAACAGATATGAGAAGACAAGGTAATTGCTCGAGGCAATGCGATTAGCGGTCAAAAGAAGACTGAGGAAAATGGCGGGTGCTCTGCCTTATATAGCACCAAGGGGGAGGGGTGCGGAGTTCCCGCCAAAAACCGTTGCAGCTTGGGTATTCTGGCTGGCAACAGGCTCTGCGCACGCAGTACCCATTATGTGTGATGCACAGAGACCACGAAGAAGTAGTATACTTGCTTACTCTCCTTCATTCACAGCCATCCAAGGTTTGTTGATCCTAACTGGGCCAGACAGTGAGATTTGCTCCAAAGTGCTACTTGGGAATTGACTGAGGAGCCCTCACTAACAGCGGCATGGGCAAGACTGTGAAGAACAGCAAGGGAGGGTTGCCACTCCTGACAAATGCTTTTCTAATTTTTTGAGTATCTCTTTAACCAAATGAACAAACACCGTCTTTGCTTTCAAGTCCATGCAGACCCGTCTGTTATAGAGTAAATGACTAACACCAGCATAAAGAACCTTTAGCATAATGGGCTCAGTTGCCTTTGGTGTGAGAAGAGAGGGGTAACAAGTATACAGGAACATTCTTATTTTTCCTTGTGAAATGTAGAGTGAAGGCAATTTAAAGTCTTGAAGCACACATTTCAATGTCTTATTCCAATGGATATATGAAAATAATGCAAAATCTATTATAAAAGGCTAGACTCTAGACTAGGTAACTTTTCCCTAAACTAAGCTGCATGCATCACTCTAAGCTGACTTTTTTCATTATAAGTAGCAGTAATTTCTGTTCTATTGCACTAAGACTGAGTAGCTGCAATGCGGAGCACCAGTTTTTCTATTTTGGGTGGAAACTCCCAACACCAGATTAGGAAACTGATGTCCTTGTAAAGTTGCCAACTGAGTTTCACCAGTTGAGAGCTTGATACATTAGGAAAGTAGCTGTGACATCTTCATGTGCAAACACACTTTTCTGTCTTATCAATAGGTTGATGACCTAGTGTATCTTTTTCTGCTTCAGTCCACCAACTGGCAGTACAGCACATGAATATAGTGCATGAATCTTTACCAATCTCATGCAATCCCATGCGGTTAACTCTCAGTCCTTGCTGCCACATGGTTTTCTGCACATGTAAGTATTGCTACGCAAGGACCCAGGAGTAATGCGTAATTCTATATTCAGAGCCCTTGGCAAATATTAACTAATAAATTGTAGTCCTGGGGCTATACTAGAGAGGGATTTTTCACTTTGTAAAATTGTCTGGTGGATTCTTATTAATACATTTGGGGACAGTATTAAGAAAATAGGAGATTTTAAAGTCTAATACTCCAGAGACTAACACAGAATTTGTTCTTATGGGCAACAAGAAAGGTAACATGAGCTGCAGAGTCAAGAAGTGATTTTAAATTAATTAAAAGGCTGACAAAAGGAAACCACAATAATCAAGGCTAGATAAAATTAGAAAGAACAAGAGTCTTACCAATATTTCCTAAGACAAAATAATGTTTGTCTGAAATATTAATAAGCTGATAACTCTATTCTCAACAGCAACAAGGAAGACCAAAACAGTGTGAAAAATCTTACCTAGATTGCTAGAACTACACCACCAAGAGTTTAAAATATTGATAGAAGTAGGGACTCATTATCATTCATAAGCAGTCCAATTTCCCTTCCCTTAATGATACTCTCAGGTGCTAGGGAGTGATGCAGATACAAACAACCTTTCTTCTCCCTGACAATCCCTGGCATGTACCGTCTTCTGCTTACAGGGATATGTCGTGAAGGAATAATGCACGCGCAACTTTTGCCACTGTGGGTTTGGGGTGAGGGGAGCTGCTGGACAACCAAGTATTTTGTTTTACAGAGGACAGGTCTCTGAAGAGGTAGCGACTATCCTCTCCTGTGGTATTCCACTATTAAAGTCTGTAAACACAAATAAATAGACAGGCCAGACCTTGGTAGCTCAATCCATATGCGTGGTCAGAATAAGCTCAGCTCAATGGAATTTTTATAAGCATTCCATTATAATGCTTATAAAGCAGATTTAAATAAGAACTATCACAGTTTCTTTTTTACTTCAGTAGAACTTTTCTAAATAGGGAAAGGGTTTTCAGCTACAGCCTTAACCTGTCTTCTACATAGCACTATGTATTGTGAAATTTATTTCTGAGATTTCAAAAGAAACAGACACAAATAATTCTTGACAACTGTACCTCCCATAAAGTATGCATTAAAATATATTTATGATGTAGGTTCATACCGGTAACAAAGTTCATGTTACATATGAAATTACATATATTTTCTTTCCATTGAAGATTTTTTACAAATGAAGTTGTGCTCTGAATGATAAAATACAGAACAGTGAAAGGACTTCTCTGATAGGATACACTAATAACCTCAAAGTGGCAATTTTGCAGCAGTCTAAGTTGTATACGTCTAGAATGAGGAGTGAAGAAATGTTTCTGAGTACTACAAACAGTAGTTACCAACTGTTCTAGCTTCAATAAATGTCTCTACTTTCAATGTTGCCTCATTGCCTTGTTTGCTGAGGAAAGCCTGAGCACCAGTTCCAAATCTTAATACAATGCAGAGGTCAATGAGATAAGTTCCCACTGGAGACCAGGTCCCCTGCCAGCCCCACTCACCAGAGGAACATCAGGAGGCTATACAGACTGGATCAGGCTCACAGGCTGGAAGTTCTGGGCCCTAAAGCAGGGGTAGGGATCCTCACCTCTGAGGGACAAATACAATGTTGGAGAAGCTCTTGGATACCACATTCCACTGGCAGCTGGGGCCAAAGGCAAAGGAAACAGGCCAAAGGCAAAACAAGTGGGTCCAAAAAGCCAGAAAGTACAAATAATACCAGCATGTTTTGTGACTTAAAGCTCTAAATGCCAGTCATTAAGACTTTGGAGAGGCATTCCATTCTTTTAGAATAGGAAAAGAACTGCACGGAAGCCAGGAACCCACCAAACAATTAGGGGCTGGAGAAAATGGGCATGGCCAACTGAGGCTCCATGGAGAGCTGGACTAAAACTTCAGGAGCACCAGATTTGGATCTATGCCCTAGGGTGCCTCACCCCTGCCCCAGAGTTCACGTGGGGCACTAGCCACACCTCTTGGGAGTGATGCACAACAGAATGCACCCAACACTCTTTTTCATCTGCACATTGGAAGGGAAGATACATGGAAACAGCCAAACCATGATACCGGAAGTTCCTAGAACAATGAAAACCACTGAACTAGAGAAAGTAGTGGACAGCTTAGTCTGCAGCCACTGATTATTGCGGCACAGGGACCTGTGTCTTCCCATTCAATTCAAAGGTGGCGCACAAGGAGCAGCGACAAGGTGGATTGTGCCACAAGTACAGCAGGGGCATTCCGTGTGTACTGGTTCTTATATGACAAGAAATTGCTGATTTGTATTTGATTCGCCGGATGGCAGCATTAAATAGTTACCTCTTTCCATATCATGCCTACCTTGATCATTGTAGCTCTGGGAGCTCAGAAAAGAAGGGCTTGATCCCATCTCTAGAATCTGCCAAATTTCCTCCAGAGAGCTATGTGCTCCAGATGATGACAACTGATCTGGCTGAAATAGGCTAGGACTTTCTATTTTCAGTTGCTTGGACTGGTGTGGCACCAAGGTGTCCGGATTTGATAGATCTGCAGTGCAGTTTTGCACAAATGATTCCAACTGAACCTGTGGAAATGACAGTCTGCCTTCAGTATGTCTAAAAACTGAGATCAATAACACCTGAAAGTGGACTGGAGAGGTCAAAAAACCAGGACTGGACCTACGTGGCCCATAATATGCAGATCAGTCAACTGGTAATTTTTAATACACAAGCATAAGAGTAGGTCAACTAATTTTTACACTGGCTGGGGTCTAAACTCATGGTCTGTTGCCATCACCTCACTGCACACTTAGAGTCACACAGGCAAACATACCTAGCAAGCAAACAGTAATTGTTGGAAACCAGTTGAATTCTAAGTAGACTTTTCCCATTCAACACAGGAGTGTATCAACAACATCCCATCTAATTTCCAAATGAAGCATAAATGCCATAAGAGAACAGTAGGCTCTTATGCCAACCTCCTGACTCACCCAAAAAGGGGCATTGGGCATTGGATTGGGCCAGTGTGGCCATTCCTTTTGAAAGGTGTGCCACATGTTCAAGACCAAAGTATGAGATGCTACCACTCTCATGCACATATCTTAAGGACTGTCTCCTTTCACATGTGTCTGCTTGTTCAGTGTTTTCAGTATTTGTGGACCTGCTATGCAACCTGTTACCTTGGGAGGCATGATTAATGGGGGCACAACTATGGGCCTCTTCAGCTGCAGAACCCAGAATATGAAGCTCCCTCTTCAGAGAGGCTCAGATGGTCCCCACTCCTATGGTAGACAAATTCTAGGGACTATTCTACTAGACATTTGGCCTCTGTTGAATTTTCCCTACTGCGTTGTTTTCAGTTTAACATGCTAACTCCTGCTTTAGAGGTTTTATGGGGGAGGAGGGTACTGTTTGGTAATATTGCATTTGTTCCACCCATGGATTAAAGCAATCAATACATTTCTTGCTAACATATAAGCAGTCCTACAGACAGGATGGAAGAGTTTGTCAAAGAGAACAGAATTCTGGGTTGCCATGATATGTGAATATAACTATGCTAATAAACTGTGGGAACCATAAAAAACCCAGAAAGAAAACTCATGGATTGATTTTGGGATGTGAGATCTGGATTAGTCAAACTATGGGTGTAAACAAGAAACATGTGTTGCTTTCTCAGGCTACAGAAAAAGGTAAAACCAAACCAAGCCAAACCAAAATTATCAGCCATTCTATAGTGCTGTAAAGGCATCTGCAATTCAGGGAGAGAGAATGCTGATGAAGGAAGAGGGAAACAAACAAGCCAGGGCATGAGAAAACAAACAAACAAACAGTTTTTTTAAATCATTGGCCAGACAAACCTTAGCAAGGCAACAAATTGTAGGTTAAATAAACCACAGGACAGTGTTAAGTTTGAATCAGGCCAACTGTCTTCAACTCATTGGTATTTCATAGCCAACTTATGAAACTGGAACTTGATAATTTCCAGATATTTTGGATTACAATTCCCAGCATTTTTGAACACTGACTATGATGACTAGGGCTGCTGGGAACTGAAGTTCAAAACATCTGAAAGGCACAGTTCAACATGGTGTCTAGGAGGCTGTTCAAAACAGGTGAATTTTGACAAGGGATTGCATGGAGATGTTCCTAGTGATAAGGGACAGCAAAGGAGAAAGGACAGAGATCTGTCAGGGATAAAGAGTCCTTCATACAGTTCAAGGTGGTGGAGTAGATGAACAATATGACTGGGAGGGATACATTGGGATATAAAAACAGAAGCAAAGTCATGGAGGGTGAAACCTCCAATTTAAATCTTGCAAGCAGGGAGAAGCAGTTAAGAAGATCTGAAGCACAAACAGTGAAATGGCAAATATTTATGGATGTCCCTCTCTCACTTTCCATTTCTTTAAAAAAAACATCTGTATCAGGCTTTAATTCTTGTATTTGCATATAACATGTAGTTACAATTCTTGCTCTAAATGTCTTCACCATTGGGGGTAATACGCAGCTTGGGAAGAAAGTCACAAGCAGTTAAGAAATTATTTTACAGCTGCAACAGTATATGTAAAGTCAAACAAGAATACTTGATGAACAAACTGGATACAAAGGGAAAAAGTTATGTTGTATTACTTAAATACTGAACATTTTAAAGGAAATTAACTAAGCATATGACACACTGGACCAATACTATACCTGTTCCAGAGGGACTTCAGCGCCTTCACTGCAAGTGCTGCTGTTGCTTGGGATATTTTTGTTTTTTATCTTCTTAACAAAAACAGGACATTTTCCTGAGGTATGGTTTTGCTGTGCATATTGCAACTCCTGCATTGAGAAGGGGCAGCCTAAATAAATATTCTGAGTTTATCAAAAAGTATGTCCATTTATTCTATGGAAATATATGTATGCACCAAGTAGGATATATTACTGTAGGAGCACAGAATCTCAAAAAAAAAAAAAAAAAAAAAAAAAAAAAAAAAAAAAAAAA